TTTAAAGTTGGCTACAGTTCAGGGAACATTTTCTGTACAGGATTTAATACTGCCCATCAATATCTTGGAATTTCGGGTAGTACACCTTGCTCTGGATTATTAAATGAACAAGTTGCACAGGTTTGTGGTCAGGCTTCAGTCCGACATGCATGGCAGTGGCATATATTAACCACCTGGGTGGTACCAGGAGTCGTGCGGTTCAGGCAAAGGTGAACCACAATCTGTCTAGGACAGAACAGCATGTGTCGACTGTTGGCAGTTCATATTCCAGGCATAGAGAACTGTTAGGTTTTTTTTTTTTTTTCCCCAGAGGTCAGCGTTTGATAACGGGAGAGTAGTCCCTTCATCCTGAAGTGTTCTTGGCAAGCTGCCAGCACTAGGGAAATTTAGATGTGGATCTACTGACTTTCAGGTTCTACAATAAGTTAGGCTGTGTCCAGGATGGGAGTCCCATTGGCATTAGGAGTAGATGCACTGCTAACCCCTTAAAGACCAGTTCCCCCTAGTCTCTTTCCCCGATTCCCCAACTATTTCCGTTCTTTTGCACAGGATCCGGAAGGAGGTAACACTGATAATAGTGGTAGTCCAGCCTAGCCAAGGAGGGCTTGATACACCAACATAGTGTATGTTGGCAGGGGGTGCTCTTTGGACACTTCAGGTTCTCCCAGACCTATTGTCTCGGCTCCAATAATGTATCCTGCTTTATGATTGCTAGAATTGAAGGCTTGGCTATATTGAGCCTAGGTCTGTTAAGATCGGGGTAAGATCTGTGCATTGTACGCTCCTTGGACACTTCAGGTTCTCCCAGACCTATTGTCTCGGCTCCAATAATGTATCCTGCATTATGATTGCTAGAATTGAAGGCTTGGCTATATTGAGCCTAGGTCTGTTAAGATTGGGGTAAGATCTGTGCATTATTGAGCACCAGGAACCCGGCTTCAGGGAGCTTTCATTACAGGACTTAGAAATCTGTTTTGCCTGGGGTGAAGTCAGGCAGTGGCATCCACGAAAATGTGTGATTGAAAGAGTTATTTTCCTTTTTCCTATCAGGAGGGGAATTGGAATTGACAACCTTCCTGGAGGTATTCCTTAGTGTAGCTCGGGGTAAAGTTTCAGCACCAAAAGCGGTAACCCCAAGCTAAACTCGGGAATACCTTGCAGCATTGCTCCGGGATCCCTTCTGCACTTACCTTGTCCTTTCGCTCCCACGATGTCCCACCTGCAGCATCCCCGGCCATCTCCTCCGGCCGATTCCGGCATCTGTCTTTCGGGTTCCGTTCCCTGCGACGTTGGGATGTAAAGGGGACGTAACCGGTGGGAAATGTAAAAATGTCAAAAAGTGACATTCACTAAATACACTAAAATCACATAGTAAAACATTACTGTATCAAAGCATTTCACATACATTTTGTCCCTAGTGCTTTGTCCTGTGCCCTGCCTGCATTTTTACTGTTCCCTCTGCCTGGAAACTGAGAAATGTCCATGGTGTCCAAAAAGCGTCCCTTTAGGTCAAAAGCAGTTTTAGACCAGCTAGAGAACAGCGATAGTAAATTAGAACCACTTGCAGAATTGAGTGATAATGATTCGTGGGAAAATTCGTCAACACTGAAAATGATTTTGCGACTTTGCTCAGTGATGTGTGAACTTGGCGCTCTAATTCAAATTTCAGTGTTTTGGTTTGATTACAATATTGAATTAAATTTATTATTATTTTTTATGATTATTTATTAAATTATAATTTGATTTCGTGTTTCAAATTTTATCATGCCCGGCATGTTTACTAGACTCTTGTTTGAACAGATTTCAGTGAGTTATTCCTAAAAATTACAGGCCTACAATAAAAAAAAAAGACATATTTCCATGCAAAAAAATGTACCATTTGAGCACAGAAATACTGACATAATCAGACCGCTAGGGAGGTTACCTGCCATTTAGGGTCAAATTTCGGCTCTATCCATTTTTTTCCCAGAAACCATTATTTCTCGTTCCTTGATTCATACTTTGTGCAGAATGTAACACAAGATGGTTTTGTATGTCAGGCCAGCCTAAGTGTCCTGGGGAACTGGATCTTGGCTGTCCTTGCAGAGGCCACCTTTTGAACCAATTAAAGAGTTTTAATCTTTTGACTCGAAAGGCAGCTTCTTTGGTTACTGTCACTTTGGTGAGAACAGTGTAAGAGCTGGCAGCTCTTTCATGTAAGGAGCCATTCTTGGTCTTGCAAAATGATGAGGTGATGTTGCGTTCTCATCCATCTTCCTGCCTAGAGTCTTTTTGGTTTTCATTTAAATCAGGACAGTGTCTTGCCTTTCTTTTTTTCTTAGACCACAGTCAGCATGGGAAAGAGCACTTCATACTCTGGATGGAGCTTCAGGTGTTCAGAACTTAGCTGAGTTTGGTGGTACAGGTCAGGAATCCTGGTCTGTGCTGCCAGAAGGGCCCAGAAAGGGCAGGCGGCATCCAGGTCAACTATTTATCATTGGATATGCCAATTGATCATTCAAGCCTATGGTTTGAAGGATAAGGTCCCATCCTTTCAGGTGAGAGCACACTCTACCAGGAGTGTGGGGGCATCTTGGGCTATCCGCCATCAGGCGTCAGTTGCTCAGGCTGCAAGGCCGCTACATTGTCTTCGGTTCACATGGTCACAAAATGTTACCAGGTGGATGTCAGAACCATGGAGGATTCTGCATTTGGCCGCAGCATATTGCAAACAGCTGAGTAAGTGCCTTTTGGGATTGATGGTGGTGGTTATTGCCATCAAAGTTCTGTTGCTTTGGGATGTCCCACATAGTCATTTTTATAGCATGCTCTGTGTTTCGTGATCTATGATAAAGAAAATTGGATTTTCTCTACATACAATGTAAAATCCATTTCTTGGAGCATTTCACAGGACACAGAGGTCCCTCCTCTCTTTCTGGAATTTCACTGCTTGCTACAAAAACTGAGGTAGTTCCTGTGTAGGAGGGGTTATACAGGGGAGGACTTCCTCACCGATTGGTCTGTCAGTGTCCATTCACCTATAGGTAGCATATAACCCACATAGTTATTATTATAGCCTGCTCTGTGTGCCGCAATGTTCTCCAAAAAATGGATTTTACAGGTAAGTATGTAGAAAAAAAAAAATCAAATTTTTCAAAAGTGCATTGATCTGCCTTGCTAAAATCTTATTACACATTTATGTGACCTGTCCTACTGCAACTTTTTTTGTGCTGTTGAACACTAATATCATTGGCAGATGTCGTACTGCTGTTACTGTCAGTGACATATACAGTCAGGTCCATAAATATTGGGACATCGACACAATTCTAACATTTTTGGCTCTATACACCACCACAATGGATTTGAAATGAAACGAACAAGATGTGCTTTAACTGCAGACTGTCAGCTTTAATTTGAGGGTATTTACATCCAAATCAGGTGAACGGTGTAGGAATTACAACAGTTTGCATATGTGCCTCCCACTTATTAAGGGACCAAAAGTAATGGGACAATTGGCTTCTCAGCCGTTCCATGGCCAGGTGTGTGTTATTTCCTCATTATCCCAAATACAATGAGCAGATAAAAGGTCCAGAGTTCATTTCAAGTGTGCTATTTACATTTGGAATCTGTTGCTGTCAACTCTCAAGATGAGATCCAAAGAGCTGTCACTATCAGTGAAGCAAGCCATCATTAGGCTGAAAAAACAAAACAAACCCATCAGAGAGATAGCAAAAACATTGTTTGGAACATTCTTAAAAAGAAGGAACGCACCGGTGAGCTCAGCAACACCAAAAGACCCGGAAGACCACGTAAAACAACTGTGGTGGATGAGCGAAGAATTCTTTCCCTGGTGAAGAAAACACCCTTCACAACAGTTGGCCAGATCAAGAACACTCTCCAGGAGGTAGGTGTATGTGTGTCAAAGTCAATAATCAAGAGAAGACTTCACCAGAGTGAATACAGAGGGTTCACCACAAGATGTAAACCATTGGTGAGCCTCAAAAACAGGAAGGCCAGATTAGAGTTTGCCAAACGACATCTAAAAAAGCCTTCAAAGTTCTGGAACAACAGCCTATGGACAGATGAGACCAAGATCAACTTGTACCAGAGTGATGGGAAGAGAGAGTATGGAGAAGGAAAGGAACTGCTCATGATCCTAAGCATACCACCTCATCAGTGAAGCATGGTGGTGGTAGTGTTATGGCGTGGGCATGTATGGCTGCCAATGGAACTGGTTCTCTTGTATTTATTGATGATGTGACTGCTGACAAAAGCAGCAGGATGGATTCTGAAGTGTTTCTGGCAATATTATCTGCTCATATTCAGCCAAATGCTTCAGTACTCATTGGACGCCACTTCACAGTGCAGATGGACAATGACCCAAAGCAGACTGCAAAAGCAACCAAAGAGTTTTTTAAGGGAAAGAAGTGGAATGTTATGCAATGGCCAAGTCAATCACCTGACCTGAATCCGATTGAGCATGCATTTCACTTGCTGAAGACAAAACTGAAGGGAAAATGCCCCAAGAACAAGCAGGAACTGAAGACAGTTGCAGTAGAGGCCTGGCAGAGCATCACCAGGGATGAAACCCAGCGTCTGGTGATGTCTATGCGTTCCAGACTTCAGGCTGTAATTGACTGCAAAGGATTTGCAACCAAGTATTAAAAAGTGAAAGTTTGATTTATGATTATTATTTTTGTCCCATTACTTTTGGTTCCTTAATAAGTGAGAGGCACATATGCAAACTGTTGTAATTCCTACACCGTTCACCTGATTTGGATGTAAATACCCTCAAATTAAAGCTGACAGTCTGCAGTTAAAGCACATCTTGTTCGTTTCATTTCAAATCCATTGTGGTGGTGTATAGAGCCAAAAATGTTAGAATTGTGTCGATGTCCCAATATTTATGGACCTGACTGTATGCCTGTCTTTGAAGGCGTGTATGGCAATCATTACTCCTGCAAACTTTGAATTTTAAGATCAATTGACTATCTTACATTTTCCTGCTTTTCTTATTTTAGGTTACAGCTTTCCCCATAGAATCATATTGCAGTGACCGAAGTGCAGAATATGAAAAACAGATGCTCAAGAATGGAGGGAGCCCTGAAGCCAGGCAGTGTTTTCTATTTGGAGCTCCAGAATTGCATGCGGATTGGCCCTTGAGGGATTTACAGTTTTTCCCAGAAAACCTAAGTGGTCTGCTGGCCTTCAGACCCTGGCATGGTTGGTCATTTATCCGAATACCAGGTAAGGTAGCAGTATAAACTGGGAAGTTCATGGCAATTTTTAGTATTTGGAGCTTTTTTTTAGGTATTAAAACATATCAATGGGATATGTTCTGCAGCACTTTATGAAAACATTAAACAATTTATTTGGTCAGTGCCCCTAAATAAACTTAGTCTTGTGGTATATAAAATGGTTTACACCACAACACTAAAGCCGGCCATAGATGGAGCGATTTTCTTTCCTGCAACCAGGGAAAATCTTATATATAACAAAACCACACCTAACTTAAAGTGAAAAACCCCTTAGGACCCAATGCATAAATACCTCCCCCCAGAGGCCACAAATATAGGTAAAGGCAATTATGGTCACTCTAAATATAACAAAATACCCAGTGTCCAACCAAGTGAAAATAAAATTCTAATTAAAGTCCTTCCAAAGTTCTCCGTATACCCTGATAGTCTTCTTTAAGTCCACCAATTCTTAGTGATACTTTAATCTCCAATACTCCTCAAACCAATGCATCTTCTTCTACCCTTAGTACCTCAAAATAAATAAACTAAACATAGTGCATTATCCTTAAACAGAAATATAAATAGTGCGTGTGCATCCAAATGTTCACAAAACCAGTGTTCAGTAATCACATGTACAGCCAGTGATTGGGGTTCCTGCTTTTATCCAAACTGAGTAGGAACTCGCTTGTGTAATCAACACTTCTCCATGTACTGTGAGTAAGTGTTGATTACACAAGCAAGTTCCTACTCAGTCGACGTCCTGAGGGATAGAGACCTATCTGATTTGATTATTGCTATACTCACAATAGCTAGGAAATCTACCTCAAAAGGTCTACTATTTCATTTGGAAAGCATCCTTGCATGGTGTGAGACAGGAAAATTTCATCCCAGGAAGTAAGGCACATACTGACCTTTCTTCAGTCTGGTTTGATCAATACTTGGCCCTGAGTGGAGTTAATAGACAAATCTCGAGTCTAGCAATTCCTTTCTATTTCAAAGACCTCTTTCCTATCATGCCTTGTACCTTGGCCTTTGTACAGGATGCAGATCCTGTAAATCCAGCTGTATGTCTATCTGTAACTGGGATCTCAACCTGCGTCTGTTGGCTCTTCAAAGCCTTTGAACCTCTCAGGGATATTTCTCTGTCTATTCTCTCTCACAAGATGGTCTTCCTTATTGCTTTCTTGTGCTGTCACAGGTGGGTTTCTGAGTTAGTGCCCTTGTCTTACAAAGAAACTTTTCTAGTTCTTACATGGGCACTGTACGTCTGCCTCTGTCCTGCTCCAGTACATCCTAAGGAGATTACAATCCTTGGATGTGGTTAGAACTATTTGACTTTCTCTCTCAGCTACATCTTCATTTAGACTGAAAAACTCCTGTTTCATCATACTGAAATGTCCTTGTAAGGGAAAACCAGCCTTTTGTTTTACTATTTCCAGTTGTCTCAGGCAGTTTTTTTTGTGCGAACCTAAAGACTCAAAGTGATTGTAAACCCTCACCTTGTAAAACAACCTATACAGTTTAAAATAGAAATGAAAGGCAAAACATTTGTTGTGTTTAGGTACAAAAGTGATCACATATTGTCTGTTCACAGCCGCATTAGAGCTAGGGAAGCACAAACGGCATCACAATGATCTTCTGTGTGTGTGTGTGCTTAATGTGGTCAGTTTTTAATATGCAAGCAGAAGGACTGGCATGAACACCAGGGATTTCACTCAAAGAAAGCAAAGAGAACAGGATCATTTTTCATACAAGTACATGGTACAGCAGGAACCTATCAGGAATATGAATTGTTGGGTTTACATACTCTTTAAAGCCCAGTTTCAGGATAATAACAAACCCCTGCTAACTAACCACTGATTTCAGAAAAAAAAAACTATCCAAATGTCCATTTTACTTTCACGAATCCATGATCACAAGATGATCCTTTTCTCTCTTCTCTTTACTTTGAGTCGTTCTTCGGATGTCCACACCACTGTCTGCTTGACACGCAGAATTCTTATTGGTGGCACTTCCAACAGCCAGGTCCTCATTCATAGGCCATTCATGTCTTTCATGTCCAAGAAGACAAAGAACAGAGGAAAATGCATTATCCCCAGGGTAGGGAATGAGCTTCCTCTGTGAATTTCCTCTGTGAGCTTTGCTTATAGAGGAAAGTGTTACTTTGATCCACTATACTGCAAGATGGCTTAGGTAGAGGTGATTAGAATCAAGACTGGGGACTACAGTAACTTCACAATTTACTGTTTTAAATTTTATTTTTCTTGGAGTTCGGTGTTAAGAAAAGGATTTTGCCTTTTCCTGTCAAAGGGCACACAGCTAGGTCGATTAGTGAGTGATTTCTGGGCTTTTCAACATCAGGCTTCTGTTCACAGGTTTGCAGGGCTTCCACCTTGTCGTCTTTTATAGTTTTACAATGCTGATGTTCAGGCTTAAGAGAAATAAGGTCCTTCAGGCAGCTCCCAGATTTTTTCATCTAGTGTGTGTGGGGGGTCGGTTTGCTTTTTGTTTGTTATGTTGTCACCTCTGTTGGACTGCTTTTGGATGTCCCATATATCTCAGAATTTCTTCTCACCCTGTGTCCCCTTCAGTGTGCAGCTTCCCCCGCAGTCCACCAGTACTTACCTAAACTTAATTTAAATCCAATTATGTACATGGGAACCCTGGCTCTCTTTTCATTGGCTGAGACACAGCAGCAGAAGCCATTGAGGAGAGCAAGGGGCGGGACTGAGCCATGTTCTGTGTGTCCCATTGACACACATAGGCGGCTTGAGAGAGAACAGACACGAGTGCCCCCAGAGCATGCAGCTTGCTCTTGGGGTACTCGACAACGGGGAATGGGTAAGAAGCACCGGCGGGGGACCTGAGCCGAGGAGGATGGGGGCTGCTCTGTGCAAAACCATTGCAAAGAGCAAGTAAATATGATGTTTTTTATTTTAACTAGAAAAAAGTTTGAGTCTTTAGAACCACTTTAATAAACAATTAAGAAAATAGGATTTTTGAAACCCTTCTTTCTATATGATCCATGTCTACTATACTACTTTTCCACACAACTGTAGCATGATGAAATGGGTTATAACTAGTGAACAGCATTTTTTGTTTGCCAGTGTCCTTTACTCCTACAGGGCAGCAGTGATCTTCTGCTGGTGTTTTATGCTAGTCCACTTTGGAAAAACTGATCTTCTGGCAGTGTTTCCTCTGAGTTTTTTCTGTGAGAGCCACAGTTCTGTCTGACTGCTCACAGGACATTATAAAAATTGAGCCTATTATTTTAAAAGGTGTACAATAGTTAGATATTGTGACCCTCTTTTTATAATAGCAATCCATTGTACGTGTCTGTAAATGTAACATACGATACTAAGGTAACCGGTAACTTTAGTTAGTAGGAACACGTATGAAAGTTACCACGTGTCACAGTATTTTCTGACATTAACCCCCCACCCCCAATCCCTAAGGGAAAACCTAAAACATACGAGTAGACATTGAATCTCCTGACAAATCGTAGGCCTGCGATTAGGCAAATTATAATATTTAGGTCATACATTTTTAATATGTAGGTGCACATCTTGTATACAAGAAATTGTTGGAGAAATACATGAAAGTGCTGTATACTGTATCTATACCTGTTCTGTCTCTCCAATTTAAGCATTGAAAGTGTGATCTCTGTAACTTACAGTTGTGATAAGATAGCGATAACTCCAATCTTAGTTGAATAACACAGGCAGTGACTCAATCCAGATGACATCTTGTGAAGTTTATTCCATAAACTGAGAGAATCTTACAACAATGAACATCTGATAGGTCAAAAGATCATAATGTGATCTGCTTCATGACATGAGGCTTGAAGCTGAAATGCCTTACTAGGAAAAGGGGTGGGCTATCTATACAGCAAGAACTAAACCAGAGGAAAGGGAGAAAAAGAGACAAAATACAAGAACACTTAAAGGCATATGACAGTCATGTGAAACATGACAATACATATACACAAAAAGGACGTTTGTATCTGCACACTTTTAGGAACCACTGCATAGATGCACAACAGGGAAGCGGCTATACTCCAAAGTGGGCACTCCTAGGAATTCATAGCAGGATGAGTAGCATCTGAAATATATACGCACACATATACAAGGGATAGACAAATATATATAGACTGCATGATTTGCAGATGTGAAAGTGACAACATGTTTTGTGTTGAAAGCGGAAGTGATGTAACATTCTTTTGCTTCCGCTGTGTGATGAGACACCTAGCTAACAAGTGGGAACCCTCATTTGCTAGTGATACGGAGTCATGTCAGAGCTTACTGAGCTTCAAAGAGGGCAAATTGTTGGTGCCCACTTAGCTGGTGACTGAAGTTCACGAGGTACAATAACAAAGGTTAAGACTACATATAGTTTCCGGGAAAACGTTGCCTGGTAAGCATAAGCGTGGTCGACATGGTCAACTGACCGAAAGAGATAAAAGGACTTTGCACAGAATTGTGACCTGGAATAAGCCACTTTTGCAGCAGTTGTATGTCCTGGATAGACACTATGCTATGTTCTAGTACTGTCACTGAGCTCACACTGACTTATAGCTCAGTATATGTTAGCTACTTTGCATCTTTCAGTACGTAGACAAAATGCATTCTCTCCTGAACACTTTCCATGCTCTGTACTGAATGCTAGCTGTAAGTAATTTATGTCTGTCACTTCTCATGTTCATTGAGTTACAAGCTTTTATTTATGCTTGATAGTTGCATTTCTCAATGTGACTGTGGGAATCTCCATTCCCTTCCTGTTCTGTTCACAGAAAAAAATACTCCAGTTTAAATGGGAGGAAGTGGCAACGTTGTTAGAGTGAACCTTTGCGACCGCTGATTGTGAGAGCTAGACAAGGGCCTTCGTATGACCCTATTGTTTCTTTTAATGTAAGAAGGAATGATGGGATACCCTCTGAAGGGTCAAGGTTATCTGTCTTACAGCACAGCTCTCAGACGTTCTTGGCTTTCTTCTTATTTCCAGGTCATGCCT